TATCTCTAGTTTACGAAGTTTTTGTCACACAAACTCACCTTCACGTGTTGGCCAATTTAATAATATGTACCTACAACAAGTTTCGGAAAAAAGTGGTCGGCTATTCTCGAGGTAGAGCCTTGTTTATAAGAATTCGTGCACTTTGACCCCATATTCTAGGTCGATACCAAGGCAGGAGCCAGGAGGGGTGTATGGCAACAGACAAGCCCATAACAAGGCAATTTCATGGAAAAACTTCATTTTTTTTGCAAAAACATTCACTCAAAACCCTACACTGTACAACCCACCACAAAAATGCCAAGAATTCAACAAAAATCCCACCCAAGAAAGGGTTTTAAAGTTCTTTAGCTCATTTTAATTTTGGTCTCTCACCCAGCAACTTGTGCGCATGCCCTTCAACCCGCGTCACCCCTTCTATATGATGATGAAGAAGAGTTAAGGAAAACCACCCCCCTTTACTGATACACTGGGGGGGGTGCGATCATGTTTCCCAAAGATGGACTTCATTGATAGCCCCCTTGGGAATTCAGGTGCAGTTGTATGCCCACACTCTGGGCCTGTACTGAAGGCTTGTACAGCATACCTGCCAATATCACATGACTTTTTTCAAATGTCAGGGGGGGTCTGTTTGTCAACACCTGCCAATCAGTAATAACTAAAGTCTGTTCTACTACTTTGATGTGAAATTTCAACTTTTCAATAGAAAATTTTCTACTTTTGACAACTTTTCTATCAGCCACCTCACATACCGTACCAATAAAATTCCCAAGATTTACACATATTCAGCTGAGAATAAAGAGCTAAAAGTTCTCCCAATACCCCAAACCCCTTTTCTTTGACAGAAAACATTGTCCAGTAACACATTCAGGGCAGATATAGCAATATCTTTTCTTTATTTGGCTCCTGTGAAGACTTATAAGGGCTATTTGTGACTGCGTGGGGGGGGGGGGTAGCTCCTGGGATGGGCACATTTTGATTGGCAGTTTTTAATAGATGAAGAGCACAATGGTATAAACCTTAGTAAATCACTTAGTACATCATTCTTAAGGAATATGTACCACTTTTGCAGTCATTCAACCTCTTGCAGGAGTTTCTGCCAGCTTTTATCATTATATACACACTGCCCCAGATTTGAACACACTATACTGTATTAATGTCACTCTTTTGTGAATCAAAAAGGCAAAAAAATGTACCCACATACCCCAAATTAGGTCACCATCTAACAATATGTACTTGTAGATGATGTTGAAACATGATTTTATCAAATCCAATACAGCTATCAGGTTGAGAAGAACACTATGTATATATAGCCCCAAGCACTATAGGGGAGACATCACTGAAAGGGTTTTCCATTGAAATATATGCTAAATCAGACATGAAAATGGGCATCATATCTCTAGTTTACGAAGTTTTTGTCACACAAACTCACCTTCACGTGTTGGCCAATTTAATAATATGTACCTACAACAAGTTTCGGAAAAAAGTGGTCGGCTATTCTCGAGGTAGAGCCTTGTTTATAAGAATTCGTGCACTTTGACCCCATATTCTAGGTCGATACCAAGGCAGGAGCCAGGAGGGGTGTATGGCAACAGACAAGCCCATAACAAGGCAATTTCATGGAAAAACTTCATTTTTTTTTGCAAAAACATTCACTCAAAACCCTACACTGTACAACCCACCACAAAAATGCCAAGAATTCAACAAAAATCCCACCCAAGAAAGGGTTTTAAAGTTCTTTAGCTCATTTTAATTTTGAG